GATATCTTAGAGTAAATCATTTACCAAGTACAAATCGTAATGTTGGGTAGTTAGAGGCAATAGGAAGCCATATACCTAAATTTCATGCTAGCGGACATTTCCTCAGCAAGAAGTATTTGCAGCCTTGAGGGAATTGTTACTCTTTATGGAATTCGAATCCACATTAGTCATTATTGAAGTCAGCAACGTTGTCACTGGACTATTTGAGCTATCACTAGTCGTTTGTAGGACTGAGGTATTTACAGTAATTGATGTGTTTGTAGTAAACGACGTGATTTTTATTTAGTCAAAACGTAGTGTGTAAAGAATATTGACTCATTCAGACTAGGGTACAGCTTGATTGATAGGATATAATTAACACTAAAGACTAGATAGTCGTGAAGTTGTTTACAGTTTAGTGATCAGTCAGTGCAAGTGTAGGTTCATATTATACAGGTTTATTACTAATGAAACTACTTTCTTTATACTGAAATTAAGTCAGTCATTCATAAGAAGTATGCATCAGTTCAATATACTACACCATATCAGCAAAACAGTATGAAATTATTAAGATAAATGTCAGAGTAAAAACAGTAATAAATGTCAGCGGTGGTAAAAAAAAACAAACATCGGATATGGACGATGTCATTCGAGAAGAAAGAATGGATTTACAAAACGAAAAGTGTGAGATGATTTCACAACTCGAGATCCAAGGAATGATGAAGAGTCAATGCATCTGTGCCATAAACCATATCACCAAATATCTTTAACTATCAGTTACGATAATCGTATGAACCTGTGTCATGTAGTGTAGTGAACAAAAAACGGGTTGGGAGAATTGAATGTATTTAAGCACAAGTTACAGACTATCTCACTAAATTCTGATAACCATACAATGAACAGTTAATTTGCAAAATCACAACCAATTGTCTCAATCTTCACCGTTCCTTCTGTAAATATCAATCCATCTTCTCTAATTTCATTGTTTATGTATTTTCCTACAAATTGCTCTTCATTTCAGTTTTTTCTTTATCGATCTTCTGCACAAATACATTCTATGTCTGGCCATCACCATATACTACTTATGAGGATATAAGTAGACCATACCACAGTAGCGTGAACTAACTAATTCAAATAGATCCAATAGTCAAGGATTTTAATCGTTTAAAAATCCCAATCATATTAAAAGACTAATATTTGAACGAAGAATATTCTTTTCGATAAATTCTCTTCAGGTTCTACAATTATATATCAAAATATATATATATATATATATATATATATCCAAATAATCCGAAAAAATGGCCAGGTAAAAGGCAAAGTACATCGTTTAAAGCATGTAAATTTGGCAATGTCAAACTAAATAGAATAAAACTGTTAATGTTGATATGACTCATATAGAATGTTAACTTGAATCTGTATATATGTAAAGTGAAAATTTAAGATCTGTGATCAGAATGTAAATATGGGTCAGATAGGGTGAGAGAGATATGATAGTACAATTACAATTCCATCAAATGGAAGATTAAATTGTGTGAAAAATTGGTAAGACGTAATAAGGATGGATCAATGCGATGTGAATGAATCATGTTTAGGGGGGATTAATCATGATGTTTAACCAATAATAATAATAATAATAATAATAATAATAATAATAATAATAATAATAATAATAATAATAATAATATACAAAGATTTGTGAATGAAGATAAGAGAGACAATTACATTTGACTACGAAAGGACGTAAGTACATAGTCAAATTAGGTCATCCAATAGCTAAGATTACTGTTGATTAATTGGCCTTATTACGTCTTACTAATTTTTCACACAATTTAATCTTCCATTTGATGGAATTGTAATTTCGAAGTTGAAATCATGAGTCAATTGAAGCTAGACCACCATCGAAAATCTGGAAGCACTGGACGGCCGTTTCGTCTTATTATGAGACTCCTCAGCAGTGCGAATCCACCATCCCGCCTCGTGAGCGAGATTCGAACCCAGGACCTACCAGTTACGAGCCAGAGCCCTTAACCGATAGACCACTGAGCCTGTCGGCATCCAACGGTGTTAATGTCTAACTTCAACTGATCCACGAATTATGAGCGACACTTCACCAATCGCCTTCAGTGAGTTGTTATCTCACAACAGACGTGGTTGAACTCCACTGGTCACTGCTTCCCACTAGAACTCCATGACATGTATCTTGAAGTCAGTCACTAGTGAGCATATGATTATAATCAGAAGGGGATTTGTGGAGATTTCAGTATATTTCAAAGTAATTGTACTATCATATCTCTCTCACCCTATCTGACCCATATTTACATTCTGATCACAGATCTTAAATTTTCACTTTACATATATACAGATTCAATTTAACATTCTATATGAGTCATATCAACATTAACAGTTTTATTCTGTTTAGTTTGACATTGCCAAATTTACATGCTTTAAACGATGTACTTTGCCTTTTACCTGGCCATTTTTTCGGATTATTAATTTGGATATATAACTGTAGAACCTGAAGAGAATTTATCGAAAATAATATTCTTCGTTCAAATATTAGTCAAGGATTTCATGAACTGATAACGTGTTTTAGTTTTGCATCTCCTAGCTTCCTTCCCATCTACTCTTACACAGGTAAGGATCACAAGTAATACATGTTCTAGCCATTTTAGTCAATGAAAATTCACTAACTCATCAACCTATTTTCTACCTCAATATAGCCTACTAGATGATCCCAACATAGACAGTGGATTACAGTTGAGATTTATAACTGCGCATTGCTGAAGAGTCCCATAATAGGACGAAACGGTCGTCCAGTGTTTCCAGGTTTTTCCTGGTGATCTAGCTTTAATTAACTCACGCTTTCAACTATGAAAATACTAAATCTCCACAAAAAACCCCTTCTGATAAATGGTTGAAAATCTCGATGTTTTAACCAGTAACTATAAATATCGTTTCATGACATCAAAAATGTGATACTCATTATTATTATTATTATTATTATTATTATTATTATTATTATTATTATTATAGCAAACACTAATGATACGTCAATTAAATTTATTATTGAAATCGATAATTGTTAAGTTAAATGATTTTTAGAGAAAGATAAACCATTGTCAATAAATCAATAAATGAGTTCTCAACTTTCTATGGTGATATGTATCATTAAAAGAAACCAAATCACCTTGATAGTATTATTATTATTATTATTACTGTTCTGATAATTGATTTCGTGTTCATTTATAAGAAAAAAACCGTGAATCCATTCATCATTTGTTTTTATTTATCTCTATTGACAAGTTATCTAATTAATTATATGTGCATTAATATATATATATATATATATCTGAATAGTCAAAGAGAGAGAGAGAGAGAGAAAGAAAACAAACCTAAATGATCGATTGTTTGTTTGCTTTTAAAAAAATTAAGAATTCCAAATTCACTTAGTATTGTTTGTTTGAATCTTCCCATTGATGTTTAGGACTGCAACTGGTCAGTCTCTAATTGGCATATGTGCATACTGTGTGTATTGCCTCGATATAGCCTAGTGGATAACGCGATGGCGTTTGAAGCGAAAGGTACTGGGTTCGAGTTCCAGAGTGAACATCAACTCTGAGATGCAGGTATATCCAGTTGACGAGTTTCAAATAGGACGGAACGCGCGTCAAACTGGATTCCATTGCTAGCCATTATCCATCTTTGCTTACAATTAAGAATTTTGTTTCTTTTTTCCTTCTTCAAATGATTTAAACTAAATTAAAGATTCCCATTGTGAAATTGAGAACAACACATGTAAGTGAACAAGAACAATTGTTTTCAATTTGATCGTCATCAGGCGTTTTACTCTAATATACATGAATATTTACACGAAAACTTTTAGACTAATCAAGGCTATTTGACCCAATAATCACAATGAAATAGAATATGTCACCAAGCCTAATTATTAAAAGTACAAGTTGATAGTGGGAAGACAGGTGTACCGATAGTAGTAAGAATAATTAAATTACCATAACAAAAGTCTTATCAATAGTTAAAGATAGGAAATAGGAGGTCAAACGTGGGTAAATAGATTAGAATAGTAATCACAAAACATTTAAATCATTACGTTATAAGAAGTACGTCAGTAATTAGACAGTGAAGAATACAAACGGAAAGAGGTGGGAAATTACAAACAAATGATAACAAATAAGCAAAGATGGATAATGGCTAGCAGTAGAATCCAGTTTGACGCGCGTTCCGTCCTATTTGGGACTCGTCAGATGGATGTACCTGCATATCAGAGTTGATGTCCACTTTGGAACTCCAACCCAGTACTATTCGCTTCAAACCCAATCACGTTATCCACTCAGTTACTGAGTCCCGATAGCCACTTGCTTGTGCAATGGGGTGAAGTTTAAATTCATTTAATATTGTTTGTTTGAATCTTACCATTGATGGATTCCATTGCTAGCCACTATCCATCTTTGCTTACCATGCTTGTGAATTTAAGCTATATCGAGGCAATACGCACAGTATGCACATATGCCAATTAGAGACTGACCAGTTGCAATCCTAAACATATATGAGAAGATTCAAACAAACAATACCAAGTGAATTTAAATGATAACAAAATTAAAAATAAAATTGATTAGTCAAAAATTTTCGTATAAATATATTCATGTATATTAAAGTAAAGCCTGATGACGATCTAATTAAACTAAATTACACACAACAAGAGAAGAAAGGTGTAAAGAAAAAAACTCAGAAGAAAGAAAGGAAAACTTAAATTATCTTTATGTAAAAAGAAATTCTCGTCCTTAACTAACCTACAACAGTAATACTACTACTTTTAATAACAATAATAATAATAATAATAATAATAATAATAATAATGAAATAAAATCATTTCTATACAGAATTTACTAGTGTATTAGTTACCCAAAATGTTGTTAATAGTACTATTCTTCAGAATGGTATTTTTATCCAGGTAAAAAAACACGAAAAAATAAAGACGGATTAATTAAGAGAAATATTAATTAAATATATATTATACTCCTATTCAATAACATGTAATTCAATAAGTAGATAACTAAGTAAAATTTTTTGACACCTTAATAATAAAAAAAGAAGAGAGATGTCCCTATTTTAACCTTAAAATGTAATGAATGCATTTTTATTCATTTATTTTTAAATAAAAGAAAAAATTTTAAACATTGATTGACCTTGTAAGCAGAGATGGATAGTGGCTAGCAGTGGAATCCAGGACGCGCGTTTCATCCTATTTGTGACTCATCAGATGGATGTGCCTACATCTCAGAGATGATGTTTACTCCGGGACTCTACCTTACATAAATAGAATAGATTGACAATAAAAAGTACCTGAAATATACAGGATAATGTTCTGTATAAGTGGGAAAGAGAATTAAATCAGTGATGTCATTCAAAAGTAATGATATGTAGTGTGATATAAAATACTATTTAAAAATGAAAAAAAGCAAACAAATAATAGTGTATGCACAATATGCACATAAACCAATAAGAGACTGATCAATCGCAGTTCTAAACATCAATGGGAAGATTCAACCAAATAATACCAAGTGAATTTAAACTTCACCCTACTACACAAGCAAGTGGCTATCAGGACTCAGTAGCCATGTGGCGAATGGTACTGGGTTGGAGTCCCAGAGTGAACATCGACTCAGATGTAGGTACATCCAGCTGACGAGAATCGAATAGGACGAGACGCGCATCCTGGATTCTACTGCTAGCCACTATCCATCTTTGCTTATAAACAACTATTTGGCATAGATACAAACATTTAAATCAATGTTGAAAGCGTGAGTCAATCGAAGCTAGACCACCAGGGAAAACCTGGAAACACTGGACGGTCGTTTCGAACCCGCTCTCTTGAGATTCGAACCCAGGACCTACCAGTCTCGAGCCGAAGCCCTTAACCGATAGACCACTGAGCTGGCATCCAACGGTGTTAATGTCTAACTTCAACTGATCCACGAAGTTGAACAACCATTCACCAATTGTCTTCAGTGAGTTCCTATCTCACAGCAGATGTGGTTTTGAACTCAACTGGTCACTGCTTCTCACTAGAGCTCCTAGATATACTTCTCAAAGTCACTAATGAGCATATGATTATATTAATTATATATTAATTAACACCGTTGGATCCCAGCTCAGTGGTCTATCGGTTAAGGGCTTCGGCTCGAGACTGGTAGGTCCTGGGTTCGAATCTCAAGAGAGCGGGTTCGTGGATGCACACTGCTGAGGAGTCCCATAATAGGACGAAACGGCCGTCCAGTGTTTCCAGGTTTTCCGTGGTGGTCTAGCTTCAATTGACTCACGCTTTCAACATTGATAAATACTAAATCTCCACAAAACCCCTTCTATATATAAATAAATTTTTTTCAAAAACTTGTTATTTTTTCTTTAAAGATTGCATCAATTTTATCTAATTTCGGATTTAAAGAGACAAAAGCTGTTTATATACAACTGTTATGTTTAACATTAAATAAAATTGTATTTATGAAAACGTCTTATCTTTGAATCACATTACTTAGTTGCGGTAATTAGTATTTGTAGTTTTCATTATAATGATAATACACTGGGATGGTGCTGGTACCATCTGGCACTAATCAACAATGTGTACGTAAAACTTTGAAGGAGCTGGTACTATCCGGTGGGTTAGAATCTATATCATACTGCTTCATAGCATGAGATGCTGTCTCTGAGCTGTTAGGAATTCAACTGTCCTCTTGTAGGATGGATGTACTTACTGTTGATTGATTGCTGAGTAGTGACCGATGTCTTGTTTATCTAGTCCACCTAATATCTCAACATAGTGCACACGAGGTCAGTTCACTCAGACTAGTGACCAAGTTACAATATGATCGATAGAAATCGATTAACACTAAAGGGATAAAGAAATATGACATTACTCAATACTCAGTGATCAATCACTTGTGAATCAAGTTATGTGGCAGCAGATCTATTTGACTGTGTACGTTGATCAGTCATGACTTACCTGCATTAGACACATCAGCTGGTGACAGTAAGTTATCCAAAAGAAGTATGAAATAGTTACTAAAATATTCGGATATATGGCTACGATTAATCAGTCCTACAAGAGTTCAGCTACTTGGGCCTGCACAACATACTGATAAGATTGTCGACTGTAATGCAGACTGAGGTATGTTCAGATTATACCGGGAGCATCGATTCCTTTGGGTCACGCATATATCTTGTTGACAGATGTCAGATAGAATGAAGCTTGGGTGTAGGTCATCATAATTGTTGCTTCTAACATACCCTAATATTAGATCATGATATTATCTACTCTTTAAGTACTGATAGAGCTTAGAGATAGAACAGTAATTAGATTATTGACCTTAAACGATGAATTCTGTAATTATAAAACAATTAGTATTACAGTAAATTATCAACTGTTTAAGGCACACACACAACATCAATATTTAAAACTACATAAATATTAAAAGTAAATGTCAATCAGGTAACTTTATCAAGTTATCTAAAACATAGGGTGGAGTTGCTTAAGCTGACTTTACGAAATTTCCTTGATCGTGTGATTGTTGAGATTGTTGAATTCCATAGCTCCCATCTCAAACCGACCTCAGTTAAGTAACTAATGGAGAGCGGACGAACGGGACGGCTGTTTTATTCTAGTTTGAGATTCTTCAGTAATGCGAATCAATCACTTTATCAGCAGTTCAAATATACGACATTCAGATATCACATAGAATGCTTTATGATCAAACAACTGATTTGCCAGCCAATGATTTTCATTTCCAACTTTAATCAATTCACCATATTACGTGACCATGTAGTATCAGTTTATATGTTAAGCCCATATACTTTATTCTAGTTGCTGGCCAAGCCAATCTCCAAAGCGCACGTCATTTTGCTTCTCTCTCTTCTGTTCACTTCATCGCTCTGATTCCCTGGCCAGATCAATGACTGTAGAAAATATATGTATTCTAATTCCATTCCCGTATTTGACTTATTTAACTCCGTTGTTCACAAACGCGGATTAAGTCATTTATTACATACGAGGATAGACAACATGTATATTTTGACTACAAACAATCATTCATACGATCAAAAAGGAATCAGATTTACGCCGCAACATAACTGGTAATCCCGACGTACGAACACGCAACACAACCACCTTTCACTGTCATTGGTGAGTAATTGTCTCACACTAGATGTGTTTCAACTCCATTCATAACAACTACTCATTAGAATTCTGTGTAATTACTCTTGAAAATTAGTCATTAGTGAGGATGTGATTATTACTAATCTAAGGGGTTTGTGGAGATTGTTCAGTTTTATAGTTTTTAGTTCCCTTTCAACAATTTGATGACAGGATTCAATTTTGAAGACGATAACAAATACCGAAAATGATCAACAGCAAGGAAGATTAATTGTCTTCATCAGAAAAAAAACATTAACATAAAGTTAGACAGAAATGGTTATGTTTTCTGGACCAATTAATTATCAGATTCGTCTCGTAGTCGTAATGAAAGGAACTGAATATTTAATCCAAGCACATTGTATAAATACAAAGTACATCATACTAACAGTTTACCGTGTTTAAATTCCTTCAGTAGCTCAAAACCAAGTGAATAACACCGTAGTTCAAGGCACACGGTTTACCTATAGACACTACAAAAAAAGCACCAGGATAAATATCACTTCGTGTTAATTGCTAGTAGTCTATAGTTTAATTATGGTATAGGGACAAAATACGTAATTTCATGAGGAAATTCAATTGAGCAACCCAAAAAAATAATTTGGATATTTTTGTACTCTCATTAACGAAATTCGATGGGATTTACATAATTCATTTCAGAGAATGAAGGATATCTTATTCAATGGAACCATCAAAAGGATTTTCTCGAGATTATTCAAACTTCTTACAAGTTTTTGAAATTAAACAGTAGTTTCTTAGTGAATTTATCAAAATTTAGAATCTATGAAGACGAATTTAGAAGGAATAAATTTAATACATGTATAGCGTAATAATCAACTGTTGTCTAGGTACAATTCTTAAGTAATGTATATGACTTCCTTTGGATAGAACAAGGATAAGAAAATTCTGAAAGTATACAAGAATTCATCATCCTATTTTCAATTTCTTTATAAATTGGAAACAGTTTGAATTTGCAATGAGTGATTAGATCAAAAATAAAAGTTTGACATAATTTAGTTAGTTAATCAGTTATCAAATTCAAGACCGTTATTTCTCATAAATTACATGAAGAACTGAACTAGTAGTAAACTCGATGAGAATCCCCGTTGTCATACCATCTATCTGTGCATATATCTTGTTACTGAAGTTCGACATAACACTTAAAGTACCACTTGATAACTGCGAAATAAATTTTGAAATTGTTACTGTTTGTTTGAAGAAGTTATTTTGCCATGTACTAGTAATAAGGCACATCGATTGAGATATGAGACAGCTCTGGAGTTCCCACTGGATTACTACTAGCCGACTTCCTTTTGATGCTTCAAAAACTTAACAGTTGATAAACTAACTTAATTTAAGAGGTATATTAATAAAACAGTGATTATAAGTAGTGAGGAGTATGATATCCGAAAAATCTACAGGTTTTTTAAAATAATTATATAGTAGATATCACGGGCTAAACTTAGTTGGATAACCTCTGAAAACCAGAAAGCACTAGAAAGCTGTTTCATCCTAGTATAGAACTTCTGGTCAGTGCACATTAACGACCCCACTAGGCGCCGAACTTAGAATGTTCAGGGCTCACAGCGGGTGGTTAATCTTCACATCACTGAGCCAGAATACAATGGTTCATATATCTAACTGAATACTTGTCAACTAATACTTTAGTTAATGAAAGTGAAATGAGAAAGTGCATAAGAAAAATCAGACAGAATAACTAACATTAATTTATTTTGGATTTTGTAAGATCTAACTGTGTTAAAGTTAAAGAGGTGAGATCAAAAATAATTATATTCATGACAAAAATTAAGGATTATATTGGTTAAAGACAGAGTTTGTGCAAAATTCACTTATTAAGGGGAAGTTAATCGATTGATAGAAAAGAACATCTTTAGCTGAAGTATGTCTTACTTTACTTATTATTGCATTATTTTCAGAAGGGGGGTTTTTGTGGAGATTTTAGTAATTTAATATAGTTGAGATCATGAGTCAATTGAAGCTAGACCACCATGGAAAACCTGGAAGGACTGGACGACCGTCCCACAATAGGACAAAACGGCCGTCCAGTGCTTCCAGGTTTTCCATGGTGGTCTAACTTCAATTGACTCATGATCTCAACTATATTAAATTATTTGCTATAAATTTAATCTATTCCTAGCCGATGATGACTAACCATGAAATAAAATGATTAAATCTTATTCATTATAATAATTTATGTCATTTATGTTCCAGTGCTTCCACGTTTTCCACGGTGGTTTAGGTTCAATTGACTCATGATTTCAACTATATATAAAAATATATTCATTGAGTCAATTTTCTATAGGTAACAGCTTAAATCAATTGTGAATAAAATGGATAAACTCTAACAAATAGATGTGACTCACTGATCCTTCTATGTATATCATATTCTTTCCATTGAGCATCTGTCTCTGGCAAAGGTTCATTATTTCTCAATGGAATAGTTCCATGAACCCAACAATAATTAACTAGAAATGTATCAAACCCTGTACCTGATGGTGAAACAGATACATAACATGATATAGCACCTAAAACATATTGTTTCGCTGTAACAACTAAGGTAGCGATTAGAAATAGAATGGTAGTAAAGAAATTTAAACGATCACCAAAATCTTCAATACCAGTTGAGGCAGGAAGTTGTAAACTGGAGAAGAAATTGATAAATTCTTGAGCCACCATGTTTTCCTCTTTATATAGATATACTTGTATGATTATCCACGTTTAAGATAATAGGAATAATAATAATAACGATTAGGGCAACACTAATTTCTAGCAATCTGAATAATTATTCTTTTGAAAGGTAGAACTGAGATAAGATTTAAATCGATCAGTTAAGTGAAACACCTTCCACTAATACACATATAAGATTTTCGAACACAATAAATGATTTATAACTGTTCAATGCAATGATGACTGTGTATACATTTGGAGCACAAATGGAATATCATGGTTTACAATCAATTTATAATATGTATATGCTCAAATGGTTTTTATAAACTATACGTATATATATATGTCTAAACAAAAAAATTTAAATGAACAGAATAAGAATCGTAACATGTTTGCATACCTTTTAAAGTTTACCTTTCCTTCATATATGTGTATTCTTCATCTTACATGTATCATTTTTTATGTGTACACACTAGACTTATGGATTAACTTGTATGTGTACATAAATGCAAACATGCGCAAAACTGTGCAGAATAATATTGTTGTAAGCATGATAATAGATTATCAGGTATTTATGAGTACTATAGTTAGCAATGAGAAAAAATAGAGTTGAATATGACCTGAAATATATATACATATATTTATGTCATTAAAGACTAAACGGTGAAATGTCACACTGGTTAGGTGCACCTAAAAGAAATAGATGTCCAAAATTTAGTTTATGTAAATCTCTTAGATAACTGAAATGTTGAGGATATTTTTATCTGTTTACCACAAATAGATGTAAGGATGTAAATCTATAGACATTCTGTGAATTATTAGGTCAGTCGTTGATCTTTATGGTTTACAAACGGGATCTTGTTACTGCTGATCTGCTCATGTCTTTGAGTTATTATATTTTGCAAACATACATTTACAACAATACGCTTTTTCTCTTTTTACGTTTGTTTCAAATAACTAACTATGTACGATAAGTGCGTGTACTTACACACTTGCACAAAATGTTTACAAGCTATCTAATTGCCGAGAAATTCAGGAAGAATCATCATAGTGGTTAGTTTATTAGTAAATTGCTCTTGGTTATGAAATATTAAATAACATCTTTATCTACAATGTTTTACCGACAGACATCAGATACATACAGATCAAAACTCATTATTAATGTCACGAAATACAATAGATTAACGCCATGTATGCTTAAATATCTTGTGGTTTTAATTTGATTATTTCAATGTGTTACTTACTTACGCCTGTTACCCCCAATGGAGCATAGGCCGCCGACCGGCATTCTCCAACCCACTCTGTCCTGGGCCTTCCTTCCTAGTTTTATCCGATTGTTGTTCATTCTTCTTATGTCTGTCTCCATCTCTCGGCTCTCTTTCTTTGTTTTGAAGGATGCTTTGATGACCCTTGATCCATGAGATTCTCATCATATAAGTGCATTTTGTGTTTGTTTGAACAACAACAATGCTACTCCTTGTGTATGTGGGGCATTTTCTTTTTTATGGCCGGAGTATAACAGAAGTATAACTGAATCTAGTCGTTGTTGTCCAACGTGCGTCCATTAAGTTTCACTGATCCCAAGCACCTTCACCTCATTTCTGCAGCACTTTGGAAGACTTTCCCGGTCTCCCACATTGTACGAGCATTTATTGTATCTAGATAAATAGTTGTTCTGGTTGTCAAAAGGGGCATTGGCCTTGTGACTTCCGAAGGAACACGGCTTTCACCATGAAGCGTCATAACTCTTCTAAATGAAAACCTTCTGACTGCCAGGATAGAGTTTCACATGGTTTGAATAATTTTTTTTCTGGTTAGCGTTTTTTTAGCGAGTTAGTTTTCTACGAGATGGGGTCGCTAACCTCATGCCCAATCCTCCTCCTTTACCCGGGCTTGAGATCGGCAATAACCCCCGGAGGGGCTACAGGCGGAGTTTTCGATGTGTTAGATAACATATTTGTTTCACCTGTCTTATAATACTACATGGTATGACTACTTGTTCAAGTTAATGATGTCTATTAGAAGTAATCTATATCTTTGACCTCATGTGTATTTACTTTCGGAAAATATTTACAAACTATCATTTGGAGAAACAAGAAATGATCACTACGTAATTCATGCATCAAGTATGTTGGGCGATAAAAAGAGGTGTTATAGCAGGAAGACTACTTGTAGACATTTACTGATGAATAAGAGTGGCAGCTAATTACTATTTACTATTCTTTTTGAATATTCACAAGTTAGTTCCATACAAAACGGGAATTGGAAAAACATTTTTGTTCATTTTTTTCTGAGAATTCTGTATTTTAATCAAGTATCTATTATTGAACAAAGTGAGTATTATTATTGTTATTATCATTGTTACTGTCAACAGATAAGATTTAATCAGTTATCTGGAAATATTGAAATTGAAGTATCTGATGAGCCGTCTATATTATTTGCAACACAGTGACTAATTACAAATTGATGCATTAGGTTTTAGCCAGATTTGTGTGTGTGTTAAATGTACTAGTATTACATTTCAAAACTGCCACTCAATGACTAAAACTTTAAATATGTTAACTACTGAACCATCACTTGATCTTTATTGATGTTCACCAGGACTGTTTCAATGATTTATTACTTATCATTCCTATAAATTAGATTTGTTCACTATCTAAAATTACTATTTATACATAGAAATACTGTAGACGAAACGCATACATAAGTGAAAATTTCAGTTGAGTCCAGTCACTGTAATCTTCTAACTATCATAATCTACCGAAAGAATTCATTTCAGAATGTTGAGCAATTAATAAAGTTGGACATTTATTTCTGATTAATACAGAATTTTGTTCAATAAAATATCAATAAGGCAATACACTTATGACATATGTAAAAAATATTCATCAAACCACTTAATATATAAATGGTCGAATTCATGAGTCGAACTGAGCTAGACCAACACCAGAAAACCTGGAAGCACTAGACGGCCATTTCATTCTAGTATGAGACTCCTCAGCAGTGTGCATCCACATCCCCACACGTGGGATCAAAACCCAAGAACGTCGGTCTCTTCCGCGAACACTTGACCCCTAGACCACTGATCAGTTATCCAATGGTTTAATATCTAACTTTAATCGATCCATGATCTTGAGCAACCATTCATCTATTGTCTGAGGTAGATACCTATCTCTTCTGGAGTTCTAGTGCGAAGCCGTGACCAGTGGAGTTCAATCAGTGTAGGGTAGAGACAGGTCGCACAATATCGTGGATCGATTAAAATTAAACATTAACACCATTGGATGCTGGATCAGTGGTCCAAAGGTTAAGTGTTCGTGTGCGAGACTGAGGTTCTTGGATTTGGGTCCCGCATGTGGGGTTGTGGATGTGCACTGCTGAGAAGTCTTATACTAGGATGAAATGATCGTCTAGTGCTTCCAGGTTTCCAGTGTTCGTCTAGCTCTAATTGACTGATGAATTAAACTATTAAAATTACTACAATCTCTAATAATACTTAGTATATATGATGAATAAGAATTGTGATTGTTAAATTTGACTAAATATATGATTCAAGTTTATTACTATAAATTGACATAAATGTTTATTGAAACTGACCAAAAGAAGTTTCATTTTTGATATCACGTAATCGAAATTGATTGACAATGTTCGTTAGTTTGAGTCTTATGATCACTAAAATCTCAAATAAGGTAAGAGGATAAAATACTCCTAAATGGATTGGATGAATGCATGAATTCGTGTACTAGGAAGGATAATGACAGTGGGGATATAATGAACTAGACAAAAGAGTACTGCTATACATTTGAATTAAAAAATTATCTTCAAGAGACGATGATACAAAACAGATTTCAGTTACTATCTATCTATATCTATCTATTCTACAAGAATTTCAAGATAATTTTCTTTACGAATTGGCTTGAGCTAAATAATCAATGAAATTCAGAAAAGATTCTATTTGAAAGTCATCAAGTGAGAACTGTTAGAACAATCAAAAACGGTGACAGAACTAATATTTAGTATTTTCTGAGTTTTTCTGGTTCTCCAACTAATGTCAAATCGTAATGAAAAACCACTTGTCAAATAACACTTTGCACTTAGCTAATGCATCCTTAATAATAAGAAACGTACGTTCTATATTCCGTTGCCAGCTACAAACTATGTATTCTAAATAATTTGTAATAAAGTGGCTATATCAAGGTGATCTAGTCCGGATGTACATATATCAATAAAGGCTGATCAAAATTCTGTCTTAAACATCAACAACGGGATAATTCAAACCCTTACTAATAATTATTTAAATATAATACTCATATAGTAGGTGTTTACTGGCTGTCTGAACCCAATTAGCTCAGTAAAAAATGTCTTTACGTTTGAAGTAAAAATGTACTTGGTTTGAGTTCCAATATGAAGATCAACAATAGGAGGGAAATGCGCACAACTGATTAGTCCTAAACATCAGGAAATGCTCTTCCTAGATTCCACTGAAAAATATAATATCTCTAATTCCGTTGTTCTGAACATTATGTATTTAATCATTTTGAATTAGTATGAAATATAAATGTAGATAATATTGTTTGGATAGTATGCCTATGAAGTTTTTTATTTATTAAGTCAATCAATCGGAATAAGAAAAATAAACACTAATTTAAATGAATTAAGAAAATAATATTACATTGATTTAATTAGTGGAATAGTTGAGAAATGTTTCAGAGAATAATTATGGTAATGAAACATCTACCGAGTCAAAATCAATTTACATGAATCATGGAATATAGACAAAGAAGTAAGAGAAACAAAGATAATCTATCGAACAATAAGAATATTAAAAATTATACTCCTACAATAGTAATCTGGATTTTAAACAGTAGTCGATAAATAGATTTGAACTAAATCTGGGAATATCCAGCATTGGATATAATGTTATTTATTATGATAACTGAAGGTTTTAAGTTTAGTGTCTTGGATATCCACTATTGAAAAGTTTTAAATAATGACATTAACACCATCGGGTGCCGGCTCAGTGGTCTATCGGTTAAGTGCTATGGCTGGTAGATCCTGGGTTCGAATCTCACGAGTGCGGGATCGTGGATGCGTACTGCTGAGGAGTCCCACAATAGGACAAAACGGCCGTTCAGTGCTTCTAGACTTTCCTTGGTGGTCTAGCTTCAATTAACTAATGATTTCAACTATGAAAATACTGAAATCTCCACAAAACCCCTTTTGATTAAAAAACGGTCTAATACTTTCAAGTAATAGTATTCTAGATTGAAAACAAACTATGAGTTGAATAAGTTTTCAAACGCTTTGAGTAATGAAAAAAATCATTCATGTTTATGTAATGTTAGAAAAGCTTACGAATAATTTAAATAGTTTTCGTTATTCATGGTTTATTTCA